CACTTTCTTGTGTTGACTCCCATCCCGACTGTACCGCCTAAAATTAGTTTCTTTTCCCCCACAGGCTATGAGGAAATGATTCCTTTCCTAACTAGTTTTGTCTAGTACATGGTGATTCTATGGAGTCAGCCACTCAGGAAACCCTCCCCCCACCCCTGCCAACACCTCTCCCCAGTTGGAATTGCTTAGTATTTTTATGAATTCTGCTCACACACGTGCAGCCCTATAGCAGAACTAGTGGTGGCAACCAAAGCAAAGAAAGGATTTGGCTTCATGAATAAATTGGCAAGGAAGTACAGTTACAGAGATGCCCAGGTGGACTTCCTTACAGCAGAGTGCATTCCACCTCATAGTATTAATTACGAAGATTAAGTGAGTTCACACATGAAAAGCATGCAGACAATAAAGTATAAATACCACCTGTCATCTCTTGAGTACCCCCATCTCCCTGGCAGTTACACGTTGTATTGTCTTTCTACATTTCTGCCATCCCCCTACCCCAAGAAAATGAATATAAAAAGTTTGATAAAATTTCCTAGTGCTTTTGCTTCCTAGTACTGCAGTGGCCTCAAATCTTCCCAGTTTCATGATTCCAGTTCTAACCTCCTTGGATGTATTATTTATTTTTCTGTGATTTTTAAAAAATGTATGGCAGTGACTTAAAAGTTTATTGAGGCAAATATTTAGTTTTTATTTCATTCAAACATTTTACTGCATATCCTGAAATCATTGAATACAGTGACATATAGTTCCAAATTAAATCATCCAGAAAGTCTTTTAAAAGTTTGGCTGAGACCCTGAACTTTCTTTGTGGCATGCGCTGGCACCATCTGTACCATTGTGTAACTCACGTTGCAACCATCTTTCTTGGGCACTGATGAGTGTGTTGAGTTCCTCAAATCAACAAAAACCCATCAATTTACAAATCTTAAACTTAATATTAAAGTAATTCATCAAGACATTTTTGTGATATGGTTGAATCTTTATTAGTAATGATTTACTGCTTAGATTTATAAGTTTTCCTGAATACCTCATTATGGTAGATATGTATGGTTTTGCAACCAGCAGAACCATTATTAAGGCTGCAATGATATGCACTGCTTAGTCTTTTTAAAACCCTACAGTTAGTGTGTAAAATACTCCTTTTAACTCCCCAGGAGATAGTACTGACTTCTGATGGCACTTTTTCAACGTTTTGTTGATTTTATGAAAATAAAATTTATTTCAGGAGTTTTTATTATTTCAAATACTTTGTTGTGTGATTCTAATTCATAATGTTTTTTAAATTCTTGACCATTGCTAATTGTTTTCTTTGAATCCTAAGTACTGACAGAATATGCTAAGTACTTTCAACTTTCACACAGCTTTTGAGCATCATTTGTATCCGATATTTACATCGCTAGCAATTATAAGCCACTGGTGAGTTGTCAAAATTATCAGTTTTTTAAGTGTTAGAAAAGCACATTATTACTTACTTTGAACTGAATCTTACACAATATTAAAGGCATTGCCATTTGTCATAGTTTTTGTACAGTATCACATGTTCAGACCATGATTCTTTACTCACGTCATTGCTTCCTTGTTCCCTCAGATCCAGGAGATGAATGTTTATAATATTTAAAAGCAGTGTTAAAAATGTATCCAAACCTCCTTATTTCATTCTGTTTGTTCTTCATATTCTAAGTTCTTGAATTTATAGATATGCAAACACTGTACAACTATTACTTCCACGAGAATAACAGCACACTAACAATAAGAACAAAGGAAAAGGCAAACAAGTATACTATTTAGAAGTTCTAGCAATATGAGGATTTGACAGAGATAATTTTTGTAAATGTCAGAATGAAGAATGTACACCCCAGCCACAAAGCTTGTCCTGATGTGGCTAAGCTGGCAGGTGGTGCCACAGATGCATCTCCTGCAATGAGAGGAACACATCTATTGACAGTCACTGTGATAGCCTAGACACTGCTAACGAGTACTTGTTAGGATTTATAGCACTTAATCTAACTGCTTATCAGTTGCTATTCTGTTTTCTTGAACAGTCAGTATGGCTTACTAACATACTGGTTGAATACCAATGTGGAGCAGAATACCGTAGAGGGCTATATGAATGTTAGTTGATGTACTACTGTGTCTTAACAAGTATTGAGCTGGTTAGGTTTGGGAGGCAGGTGAGGAACATCTAGAAATTACAGTAATAAGGGGCCTCAGGAGACAGGATTTTTGCTTCTAACACATGACTCCTGTGGAGTTAGGCAGTAAAGGTGGTCTATTTTTTCCTAATTTTTTTCAGCTGAATGAACAAAGGTAGCTAGACTGAGTTTGAATTAAAAAAAGAGATCGCCTTTACTTTATTTCTAAAGTCAGAAGAGGTGGCCTGGGTATTGGTGGTTATGCTATAATCTGCAGCTAGATATTATTAAGTACTTAGTGCAAGGGTGAGACTTAACCATAATTCTCTGCGAGTTATTTCACACTTAAGAAACAGGATGTTATTAGGGAGGGAGGCATTTCACACAGGATGTGGTTAGGGAGGAGGCCCAAGCAAACAATCTTGTTTTTTTTTCTTTTTTTGTCCTGCCTTAAAATATAAATCTTACTTCATCATATAGTATATTCATACAATAGAATATTGGTAATTTTGTTCCTTCTACTCCCCTGGCTTTAGCTACAAGTTGTAAATTGTGTTGGACTGGGTCCCCCTGAATGACCTTGCACTTGATAATAAGAATTGGAGTGATGAGGGTTCTCCTCCTGTTGCGGTTTCAGGGCATCCCCAAGGCCATTCTTGCCAGTGAGTATGGCCCTTAGGATTGGGTGGGGTAGGGGTGTGATGATTTAGGGGAGGCAGGGTTAGGGAAATTAGAGAAACAGAAGGTGGGGTAAGTCCTGACTTCTGAGCCTTACTACCCTCCTACCTTACTCTTTGTCACTCAAGAAGCCTCATTTTCACTCTCAGGGCCTCAATTTTCTCACATTGAGACAATGCTCCTTTTTTCCAGGGTATCTGTAAATTAGATAGGATTATATGTGTCAGGCCACATGGCACCTGGTAGGGCCCTGGTGCACATTAATGTCTTTCCTTAAAAAGCAGTTTGCATAATGAAAATTTTGCTTATTTTCCTGAGAGACATTTGCCTTGGTGGTCAGACAGGTTACCCCCACCCCTCACTGCTGTCCCCAGCACATACACACACACTAGATATGGTAGCAGACACTGGAGCAGAAGCCAGATCTCTGGCTGTTAAACTCAGAATTCTCCCCCAAAGACCTCTTCTCCATATACATGATTTGGGCATGTAAAGCTCTTAGAACAAAGCCTGACACCCATTGAGAACTCAGTGATTGTGAGCCTTCTAAATAGTCCAAGGCCAAGAGGTTAACATGAGTTTTGTGCCCTCTCATAGGTTGTCCCTTGAAGCTGGAAGGCTTCACCCCAGCCACCCTCTAGAGCTAATTTGTCTGTTCATTCTAAACATCCCAGCTCAACTTGTTCTCTTTAGGGAGCTCCCCTGTCACCAGACACCACTTCAACCTCAGCTGGAATGGGGACTACCCCCTCCTGGCCACCATGGCTTCCTTAAGGGCCAGGCTGCTTGTCTGGCTCTCAGCAACCACAAGGAGAAGTCTTTGAAATTCTTGAGGCAACAAGGGATCATTTTTCAGGCCTGAATCTTGCTTAAAGTATGTTCTCTGTCCATGGAAATATGGGTACCCCTCAAAGGAGGGCTAGGAACTTTGCATCTGTGATCAAGATTCTTCAGAGACGGTTCTGCTTCATTTGCCTTTCCTCCTGGTGTTTTTCCTTCCCTGGTTTCTCCACAGAGCAGGCCAAAATGAGCCAGCCATGCTGGCCTGCTCCTGTCAGGGTACACTTTCAACCACCCAGATGTGAGCAAAAGAGAAGCCAAACGGAGATGGAAACAGGATGTCTTTTGTTTTTATTTTTTATAATCTTTTTCTTGGTTCTGCTTCTTCGTCCCAAGCTACACTATCCTTCCCCATCCCCAACATTCACTTTGGGGGTCTGAACCTGGCTCCCTTGAATCCGGAACCAGGGAGAAGAGCTTCCCCCGCCCCGCCCCGCTGTGACTCTGTGACCCGTGACCCAACTGACCCAACGGTTCTTTCACTTCCCTCCCAAGTTCCTCATTCCCCTGATGAATTTTTTTTTTGGCGGGGTGGGGGTGGGGGCCTGACTGGGGGTTGAACCCAGGACCTCATGTATGTATGCTAAGCACACACTCTACCACTGAATTATACCCTCCCCCGACTCTGCTGAACTTCAAATTGGACATTTTATTTTCTCCCCAGTTTTTCAGATAAAATTGACATATAACATTATATTAAAGGTGTACAGCATAGTGATTTGATATATGTATATTCTGTGCAGTGATTACCAATATGACTGATTAATTGGACGTTTTAATCAGTGGAAGGTAGTGCATTCCATAAAACTTGGGAGTTGGAGGGGAAAAAAAATCACCCCAAATCAGAACATTAAACCGCCTTATTTTTGTGTATTTATGCCGGTTTTCCTCCTAAATACGAAATGTTTTGTTTTGGTTTTTAACTTCTCTGTGGTTTTCCATGTTACAGATTAACATTGTTCTCATTTGGGTAAGGAAGAAACCAGGCCTCCTAAACTGAGAGACCCGCCCAGGATCATAAACCGAGTAAGGGGGTAGGTCCGTCCGGACCAGACCGGGGCTACTGGCTGGCTTGGTGTGGCACTGGCTGTGCGGCAGCCTGAGCGTTATCTAATTCTAATTCACCGGAAACCAACTCCAGTGGGCCTTCTCCAAACAGCATTTATGGAGCTTTTATCTCCGACACACAGATGGTGCTCTAGTGCCCCGCCCCAACGCTTTCCCGCTCGGCCTTTCGGTTTCTTCTAAGGCCCCTCCTCTCTTCCGTAAAGAGCAGAAGTGGAGCTGGCTCTCCTGGTTCTGGGTCCCCGGTCCCGGTTGTGCCCGGGGGTCCTGGGGCCAATCGGTAACAGCCGGCGGCATGATGTGGGCGCTTGCTCTCTTGCACCCCTTCCTGAGCCTCCTGCCGGAGACCCGCGCCCGTGAGTGGGGAACTGCGGGCGGCGGGCGGCGAGGGGTTGCAGGGGAAACCCAAACCGACGGAGAAGACTCCAAAATGGAACTTCAGAGCGTCTCTAAGCTCAAGGGGTGGCTTTCCAGAATCTTGGTGCAGGCTTACTATTGCGCAGACTCTGTCAAAGAAGGACATACAGTGCGAACAAAAAGAAAGCCTGCAGATCTCCGACCGAGGTCGGAAGTCTTGAGTTCCTGTCCTCCTGCTGTGCTCAAACTAGATGTTTTGTAAAAGCCACTTAGAAAAGAGAGGCTTGTTGAATACATAGAAGGGCAAAGCCATAGCCAGATCAAGTCTGGGGTCGATGGTGTCCAAGGTTTTAAATCATCTTTCTTTCTTTATAAAATATATAGATGTTCCACTGTACCAATACATTATGCACATTATAAAATATTTACAAAGACAGAAATCCAAAAAGATGAGATAAAATAAGATATTTTAAATACTGTTTTTTATTTATTAAAAGTATAAAAATATTTTTGCCCTTACAAAATTAATTATAATATTCAATTGAGAGCAATGTGACCGATTATGCTTAATTATTTTTGAAAATTATTCTTTAACAGTTTGTGATATAGTCATTTGTTGGTCTGGTTCTTTTTGTCCCTAATTCAAAAAATTTTTTAAACTGAAGTACAGTCAATTACAATGTATCAATCTCTGGTGTACAGCACAGTGTCCCAGTAATGCATATACATACATATATTCATTTTCACATTTTTTTCATTAAAGATAATTACAAGATATTGAACATAGTTCCCTGTGCTATACAGAAGAAACCTTTTTTTAAATCTTTTTTTATATATAGTGGGTAACATTTGTAAATCTCAAACTCCCAAATTTATCCCCTCCCACCCCCTAAGTCTGCGAGTCTGTTTCTGTTTTGTAGATGAGTTTATAGGGTGCTTTTTTTTTTTTTTAGATTCCACATATGAGTTATATCATGTGGTATTTTTTCTTCCTCTTTCTGGCTTACTTCACTTAGAATGATGGTCTCTAAGTCCATCCATGTTGCTGCAAAGGCATTATTTTATTCTTTTTATGGCAGAGTAGTATTCCATTGTATAAATATACCACAACCTCTTTATCCAGTGTTGGTCTCTTTCTAAATTTAAGTTCATTTTGATCCTTGGTTAATGACAGTTAGAGCTGAAAAAGATAACACGTCCACACAGTCATCTTACATTCAAATGGAAGAAGTGCTTCACTGATACACTCGTTAAAATATGACTCATCCAAAAACAAAATCATGTTAGAAGCAGTTAGTAAAACTGAAAGTAAAGACTCATCGGGGAAAATCCCATCCGTTAACTATGAAAAGTTTCCCCCAATTCCCAGCTTCTGTTTTTACATTTTCCCTTGTGCAGACTGATGGCAACCATTGTCCCCAGCCTCGAGATCTCCTAGCACAGTTGGACAGTAGCTGTTGTTGAGTCTAGAGGTGCAGCAAGAAAGCCAGATGGGAGGCCAGGCTCATGGCTTTAATTGCTGAGCAAAATGTTTCCTGATAACTAATAAAACAAAGTCTTGACATTCATATCTGGCAGCATGAATGTGCTGCTGGTTTTCCCCGAGAAGTGAGGATGATACACAGACCACACTACACATTTTTTTTTTAAAGTCTCACCTATTTATGAGCAAGAGAGAAAAAGAGATGGGTTCTAATTAAAGCCTCAGTTTTCTGACTTCTAACATGGAGTTTAAATATCTACTTCATACAGTTATTAAGATAATTAAAATAAAACAAGGAAATAAAAGACTATAGAGGAAATGCTCCAACACAAAGATAATTTTCAGGAAACAGAATTAATTTCTCTGCAAACCTAACTGGTCTGGTGAGGATAGTTAATGGGAGTTTGATGTGAACATTTCCATATTTGTACATTTTCTGCCTGCCTGAATGGATTAAGTTGCCCAGGATATGAAAGCCTTAGAGAGAATAGAGAAGAAAGAAGTTTGTATTTAGCATCTTTCTTTTGCTCTTGTTTTTTTTCTCCCTCACCACAGTCATTCCCTGGAATTCAGTGTCTCTAAACATCTAACGGCCTTGCTCCCAGCATAGCCCCCTTTTCAAGTGCAGCGTCATGGTTTGGGGTGGGCAGAGAACAGACGGAGGGATCTCTGGTTTGCATATCCACTGCCTGGCTTCTCAGGAGGGACTTCTTGACTTGACTCAGCGGTTTAGATCTGGTGTGGTCAGAGTCACAGTTCACAGTGAGAGGGACTTGTTTATCAAAGGAGGATCCATGTCAAGGGTAGAAGTGGAGAGGGTCTTCTTAAAAAAGAAAAGCAATGCTGTTAAAAGCATGTAAGTGATATGAATAAGTAATTTACAGAAGAATAAATTCAGTTGGCCAATAAACATGAAATTATATTGTCTCTCTATAACAGAAATAAATTAAAACTATATTTCAGGGGAGAAGGTACTAGTGGTAGAGTGCAGGCTTAGCATGTATGAGGTTCTGGGTTCTATCCCCAGTACCTCCATAAAAAAAAAACCCCAAACCTACATGTATTTCAACTGCCATTTGCAGCAATATGGATGGACCTAGAAAATATTATGCTTAGTGAAATAAGACAGACAGAGAAGACAAATACTATATGACATCACTTACATGTGGAATCTAAAAAAATAACACAAATGAATGTATATACAAGACAGAAACAGACTCACAGACATAGAAATAAAATTTGAGATTACCAAAGAGGAGAGGGAAGCGGGGAAGGACAAATAAGGAGTATGAGATTAACAGATACTAACTACTATATATAAAGTAGATTAGCAGCAAGAATTTACTGTATAGCACAGGGAATTATAGCTATTGTCTTGTAATAACCTGTTACGGAATATAATCTGCAAAAATAGTGAATCACTGTGCTGTACACCTGAAACTAACACAATACTGTGAAGCAACTGTACCTAAAAAAAAAAAAAAATCACACTTTAATTCTGAAGAAAAGGCCCTCCCAAATTTTTGTTGACTTTTAAAATAATCTATTGAGTGAAATTTACTTACTAAATAATCTATTGAGTGAAGCCCAAACAAACAAAAAACTGGATGTATTTCAGTCTCTCCTGTTGATATGGGTATGAGTTGATGACGTTTTTGTGAAGCACTTTGGTACTACCTGTTTGTTTGTATTTATTTATTAACAAAAATTTTTTTATTGAGTTATAGTCATTTTACAATGTTTTGTCTGGTACTACCTGTTAATATTCAAACTATTCATAATCTTTGGTTCAACATTTCCACTTAAATTAGAAATTCCTAGAACACTTTCCCTAGTATACAGAGAAATAAGTACAAGAATACTTTTGAGGCATTATGTATATCAGTGAATTATTGGGAAAAAAGTACTGAAATAGTTAAATGAAATAAGCTATGTACCTACAGTGAAATAGCACACTTGTCATTGAAACAAAAATGTCTACCTATATGGCCATGAAAATATGTCCACATGGTAAATGAAAAATAAAAGTTATAGAACAATCTGAATTGGAAGAAACATTTATTTCAAACATCCCTTCCATCCATCTTTACTAATGTATGAATGGGGGGAAAAAGGGGAAATATAGAACAAATAGTTAACAATGATTCTCTCTTGAATATTATAATGGGGCATTTGTATTGTCTATATTTTATATCTGCTAGACATACATTTATGTTCCTAGTACCTTTCTAAGGTACATGGATTGTACACTTCTCCCTTATATACATATTGTGTGTGTATATATATAATATATGTACTATATAAGTATATATTTGTGCTAAGTACTTGATCAATTTTTTTTATTTCCTCTCAAGGGCTTTTACCTTTTTTTTTTTAACTGAATTATAGTCAATTTGCAATGTTGCATCAGTTTCTGTTGTGCAGCATAATGTTTCAGTCATACATATACATACATATACTCCTTTTCATATTCATTTTCATTATAGGTTACTACAAGATATTGAACATAGTTCCCTGTGCTATACAGTAGAAACTTTTTTAACCTATTTTATATATAGTAGTTATTATCTGTAAATCTTGAACTCCCAGTTTATCCCTTCTCACCCCCTTTCCCCTCCAGTAGACATAAATTTGTTTTCTATGTGAGTCTGTTTCTGTTTTGTAAATAAGTTCAGTTGTGTCTTTTTTTTTTTAGGTGCCAGATATAAGTGTTATCATATGGTGTTTCTCTCTTTCTGGCTTACTTCACTTAGAATAGCTATCTTCAGGTCCATCCATGTTGCTGAAAATGGCATTATTTTCTTTTTTATGGCCGAGTAGTATTCCATTGTATAAATATACCACTACTTCTCTATCCAGTTGTGATAGTCAATCTTATGTGTCAGCTAGGCTAGGTCATGGCATCTAGATAGTTGGTCAAACACCAGTTTAGATTTTGCTATGAAGTTATTTTTTAATTGAGATTAACATTTAAATCAGTAGACTTTGAATAAACTGGATTACCCCAGATGATAATGTGGGTGGACCTTGTCTAATCAGTTGAAGGCCTTCAGAGGAAGACTGAGGTCTCCTGAGGAAGAGGGAACTCTGCCTCCAGACTACCTTTGGGCACAGCTGCAACATTGAATCTTCCCCTAGATTTTAGACTTGCCAGCCCTCAAGAATTACATGAGCTAAAACCTCTTACTCTGTATATATGTAAATATATATGCATATATATTTGTATGAATGTACATAATATTTATGTATGTATACATATGTGTCCGTATAGATACTTATTTCTTCAAATTCTCTCAGTGCATACTCTGTGTGGGATTTGAATTCACTTATGAGATAGGTTGTAATTGTCCTTTCACTGTTTGATGTTGTGTGCCTTGTGTCTCCTATTGGACACACACACACATACTCATTCTTTAGATCCTCACTCAATAAATACTGGAACTTGCTCTGATCCACTGTCTCTTGTTCTTACCTCAGGATCACACTCTCTGCAGTATTTCTACTCGGCTATGTCCGAGCCAGTTCTAGGAAAACCTGCATTTACTGCTTTGGGCTTTGTGGACGACCAGCCCTTCATTCGCTATGACAGTAAGGAAATGAAGGCAGAATCTTGTGTTCAGTGGTTGACAGAAGAGCCAAGTTACTTTGATGATGAGACTAAGATCTTCAACAGTCGGATGAAGATTTTCCACTTAAATCTGAGGAATTTGCAGCAATATTACAACAAAACCATGGAGGATGGTCTGAACACAGCACTCCCACAAAAGCAAGCAGGTAGGTGCCTGGGAGAAGCAGGGGGAAGCAGTGCTCAGCACTTCACCCCAAGCCTCAGGGGTGAAAGACCCTCTTGACAAGAATTCCCATGGGTCAGGCTGCAGCAGGAGAATGTGTACAAGTTATCACTGGAGAAGGAAAGCTGGCCTAGTCTGGTCACAATGGTGTAGAGTCTGTTTGATATTAATTAATAATTAATACACAGATTAATTAAGTAGATTTAATAGGTCATGGATATATGCTTAGTATATGTCTTTTGGGTGCTGGAGGTGGGCAACCAGAAACATATAACCTGGTGTTTGTCTTCAAAGAGCTTACAACTAATATGGGAAGGTACTCATATGTCTGTGAAAACTTTACTGACCCTTTGATGCATACCCAGCGATGTCAAAGACAAGAACCTCCTTAAATACCAAGTGAGAAGCAGAGAAATAGTTGACTGTGGTTTCTAGGCGAGACACCCCAGTGGTGAGAGTTTCATGAATGAGGTGGAACTTTATATAGACCCTGATGGAGGCGTGTGACTTAGGTCTACAAAGAAAATAAAAGGTGTTGTAAGTGGTAGGAAATTAGGGTGCAGCAAGGTATGGGGTGGGGTTCAGCAGCGTGAGTTCAGGGGATAGACTGAAGTTTAATCATTTCTAGGTAATGGCTCTTGAGAGTTTAGCCCTGTTGAAACAAGCCTGTAAAGGGCCTTGAAGGCCAAAATCAGTGAGAGGTACAGTTGAAGCTGAACACTGAGGTTGCTCAGCTTTTGCCCGTTGATCTTTCTAGGAGCATGATTTTGACAAGGGTTTGCTGGATAGTATGTTACAGGCACCGATGTAGTCCCTGCCTTCTAAGGGCTCACAGCATAAGAGAGTGATGATACACAATTAAGTTTGGTAGAGTGTGTAAGTGTCGGACTAGGAGCTTGAGCTGGGAGACTGTGGGAACCAAGGGGAGGGTGTGGTAAGTCCAGGCTGGAGTGATCTCCGGGTTAGTCATATTTGACTTTGAAATTCACATGAGAAAATTTTCAGAAGTTTGAGCTTTTGATGTTGTTTGCATCCTCTAGTACCTCATGGTTTAGTCTGTTGGGCTGCCATAACAAAACACCAGACACTGCATGGTTTAAGCAACAGAAGTTTCTTTTCTGACAGTTCTAGAGGCTGGTAAGTCCAAGATTAAGGTTCAGCAGGGTCACTTCCTGGTGAGGGCTCCCTTCCTGGCTTGCAGTCAGCCACATTCTCGCTTTCCTTGGTAAGTGCACATGGAGTAAGTGAGATCTCCCTTTCTCCCTAATCCCTGTTGGATTGGGGCTCCACTCTCGTGACCTCATTTAACCTTAATTACCTCCTAAAATCTCCAAATATAGTTACATTGAAGATTAGGGCTTCAACATCTGAATATTGGAGGGATAGAATTCAGCCCATAGCACTCAGGGAAAACTGCACTCAGCACTTTGTGCCCTCTTGCATTAATGCTGTGTAGTGTGATTCTGTTTTCAGGAACTTGCGCTTAGAATCTGAGACTCTGAGCACAGAAGAGACCTGTAAGTTCATAATCTAAGCCTCCATTTACTCAAGATAAATGTAGATCTGTGGAGGTTGAATAACTGGCCCAAATTACACAGTTCATGGCAAAGCCCAAATCTGTAAGTCCCCATCCAAGGCTTTTTTAATACTTAGAACTAACCATAGACCATTCCCCACTGCAGAGCTGATAGCAAGTTAAAGACATCGGTATCAGGACAAAGCTAGTTTGTCTACAGAGTGTGACTGTCCTCTAAGGAGAAGAGAAAAAATGGGAAGGGTTAGTGGAGGGAGCTGGAACCATGGATGGGAGAGGCCTTGGAGGCCCGCTCTGCCTAACTGACACTGTTTGATCCTTGGTGTGAGCAGGTCCCCACACCCTCCAGTTCGCCTACGGCTGTGAGCTCCATGAGGACGGCAGGACCACAGGGCACTGGCAGTATGGCTATGATGGTGACGACTACCTGAGGCTGGATATGGACTCTCTGCAATACACCGCAGCCACATTCATTGCTCAATACACCAAACAAAAATGGGAGGCCAGTGGGAACTTCATAGAGAGAGACAAGAACTACTTGGAGAAGGAGTGTGTCCTGTGGCTGAGGAGATACTTGAAATTTGGAGGGGAGAGCTTGAACCGCACTGGTAATGACCTCCCGCAGCCCACCCACTCAGCCCTCCCCCATCCCCAGCTTGGGCCAATTCTCTCTCCAGAGTGTGGGTGAGGGGGCCTACCCCAGAAACTGTCCTAGCACAGCGGGGTAACATATTTATGTGGGGTGGGCGGGGCCAATGTGCTGATGGTGACGTCCCTACAAGCCAGAGGTATGGATTTGGAAGCTTCCCATCTTGTGTCTCCCGGGCAGTGCCATCGGACCCACCCATTCTTTTTTTCTTTTTTTAAAGAGACTTTTATTTGTTTTGTTGTTGTTTGGTTGGTTGGGATTTTTTTGGGGGGAGGACGAGTAATTAGATTTATTTATTTATTTTAAATGGAGGTACTGGGGATTGAACCCAGGACCTTGTTCATGCTAAACACACATTCTACCCCTGATCTATACCCACCCTCCACCCATTCTTATTAGGCTAGGAAACTGCTCTCAGGAAGGCATAGAGCTACTTCATAGAATCTTGGCGATTTTTTACACTTTTGGCACTTTCTTACTAGATACACTCCTGTGTGTGTCTAGAAACACTGACCAGTGGCTTGATAAAAGGGTGGAGCATGTTTGAAGAGGCTCTTATTTTGGAGAAGAATGTTAGACTGAGTTCTCACACCCCTGTCTGGAACCTGGCTTGACTTAGCTTAGTGTGGATCCCTCTACCCTTGATAGGAGACAGTTCCTGCCTCCTCCTGGTTAGCAGTCACACCATCAGGGGATATGGGTGTCTTGGTCTTTGGAGTTGATGCCCCTCAGCAAGCCCTTGTGTGAGCCCTCCCTGCTTTGTCTACCACAGAGCCTCCCAGGACACACATGACCCACCACCCCATCTCTGACCGTGAGGCCACCCTGAGGTGCTGGGCCCTGGGCTTCTACCCTGCGGAGATCTCACTGACCTGGCAGCGTGATGGGGAGGACCAGGCCCAGGACACGGAGCTCGTGGAGACCAGGCCTGCAGGGGATGGGACGTTCCAGAAGTGGGCGGCCTTGGTGGTGCCTCCTGGAGAGGAGCAGAGATACACATGCCACGTGCAGCATGAGGGACTTCAGGAGCCCCTCACCCTGAGATGGGGTGAGGGGGGGAGACGGGGGTGGAGCTTCTTCTCAGGTAAAGCAGAAGCCCTTCTGGAGACCTTCAGCAAGGCCAGGACCCAAGCCTGAGGTCAGGGCTCCTTCCCTTCTCTTTGCAGATCCGCCTCCTCGGCCCATCATGGGCATCATTTTTGGCCTGGTTCTCTTCGTGGTCATTGGAGCTGTGGTGGCGAGAGTTGTGATCCGGAGGAAGAGGTGCTCAGGTAGGGAAGGTGGGGGGGATCTGAGTTTTCTTGTCTCACTTAGTGGGGTTTCAAGCCCAGGTAGAAATTTGCCTGCCTCGTTACTGGGAAGCACCACCTAGTGCATATGCTTACAAGTCTGGGGCCTTTTGCTTGCACTTACTCTTTGTAAGGCACATGTGAAAATGCAATATCAACACAGTGGATCTGATGATGGGGATGTGATCTTCAGCAGTCAAAGGTCAGGGAAAGTCACTAATGAGGACAGACCTCCAGGGGGTGGTTGGTCCAGTCCCTGCACATCTGCTTTCTTCATGTTTCTGGATCCTGCCCTGGGTTTGCAGTCACGGCTCTGGAGACTTCCCTGGGGTCCAAGACCAGGGGGTTTCTTTACGGCCTCATGACCTGCTTTCTCCCTGGCTTCTTAAAGGAGACTATCTTTCCATAAGAAAAAGAAAGATCTACGCTCAGGCTGTAAGTATTGAACAGGAGTGGAGGCAGAGGGTGAGCCCTGAAATCCTTGGGATAGTGCAGATGGGAGCCTCTGGGGAAGCTCACCAACCCAGTGAGTCCGTCTTTAGCCACATCTCCTCTAGGCTCTGGCCAGGTCCTGTTTTTTTTCTCCCCCAGGCAGTGACAATGCTCTCGGCTCTGATGGTCTCTCACTGATCCTAAAAGTGAGACCCTAAATGGCCCAAAGTGGGAGAGAGGTCAAGGCAGATGGGACACACTATGTTATGGCGATT